TTGTGTTCACACAATTTGATTAAAGTGAGGAAGTGGTAGAGGAATTTTCCCACAATAATATGAGTAGCCCCTACGTCTCTGTTGGATTTCACATAGCCTTGCTTTCCTAAAAGGTGTTCTCATCCCGACCTCGTTTAGGTCTTAACACCACCCCAGCAGGACTCGAACTATGGCAATGCAGCCTGCAATCGCGCCATGTTGCCACGGGCACCGTTGGGGGCACATTTTTCCATATCATGTTTTTGACTTGCTCGGAAGGTCGTGTTTCAAAGTATCCCACCTTCGAGGGATGGCCAGTTCTCGCGACAGGTCGTGGAGTAACGAAGTTTATCTGCTTTGTGGTCTAGCGGACACGAATTTTCTTTCAGCCCATCACGACAAATTGCCTCTTGCCGACAATTGGGTCGGGCCGGGCCGGGTTGAGTGACATGTTGCGCAACATGTTGCTGACTTACGCCCAACTCGGGCTCAGATTGCGCCGAAACGGTGCTACCGAGCGGTGCAGACGAAGTGAGGGGGCAGATGGAGACCGACCGTAATCCGAGGCGAGGGTTCGACCCGACCGCGGCTTGCGGGCAACTCCGCCGTTGACTTGAGCATATGTCGCGTCCGGTCGGTATGTCTTCGTTGCCGAGTTATGATGCAGTCAGCCGCGAAACCGTCGCGATAAGGCCTCGTTCGGCCCATCCCCTCGTGACGGAGGTGTCGGTTGCTATCCGGTTGCTGGGCTTTTTGCCCATCCGCCCAAGCCCCACGTCTACAGGCCGGCACAGCCTCATCGGCCCTGCGCTTCTGCTCGCCAACGGATGGGAGGTGGGCCGGACGGAGGCTGGACGAGACCACTTCGGCTCACTCGGTCGACTCGTGAAGTGGGCAAGACGAATCTGTCGGGCTGTTTAGGGACGGCTGGGATTGACTGAAGAAGGGACCAACCGACTCGATGAGAAGACGATTTCCGGTCGGAATGGGGCGATGTCGAGGCCGTCCGCCCAAATTTTTGAGCATTTGTGAACAGATCGGTACGCTCCATTTCGGATCGAGGGCAACGGATCAGATTACATCGGATCTGAGATAATCATATTGGAACTGGTTAGTTTAAATAGAAACGGATCAATTGAGATCGGACCTGATCAGATTGGATTGGATAGGGTCTGATCCGGTCTACTCGGACCGTACCGGAAATAATCAGATTTGCTCGGAGCGAATGGGTTCGGATCGGGTCAGTTTGGATGGGACACGATGTGATGTGGTCTACTCGGATCGTACCGGATAGAATCAGATTTGATCGGACCGAATGGGTTCGGATCGGGTCTGTTTGAATGGGACACGATGTGATCTGGTCTAATCGGATCGTATCGGATAGAATCAGATTTGATCGGACCGAATGGGTTCGGATCGGGTCTGTTTGAATGGGACACGATGTGAT